TTTTTCGGTTCACATAGCTAAGCTTTTTGGTTTGGTATCTGGGGATCTAGTGACACGAGACTAGCTTAGACACGGATGGCACCCTCAACGGCCTTGCGCTTCTTCTCCTGGCGGGCGACAGCCTTGGCGCCCATGATACCACCACCCCAGTGGCGGCGGGACTCCTCGTACTTGTCGGTGTAACCCTCCTTGATGGCGGAGAGGAGCTTGGAGAACTCGGTGTTGTCCTCGGAGCGGACCTCGGTGAGAGCGAGGACGGCAGCGGTCTGGAGGGGAACTGTTAGTGTCTTCAAGGGATATGTAGGGTTCTCTTTGTTGGAGAATCATCAGGCAGAGCGTAATCGAATGCAACTCGGGTCCATTAGTCTATCAACCGATAATAATAATAGAGCTCATTAACCGGTGATATCTAGTTCATCTGCTAGCACCTGGCTTTTCATTATTGAAGATATCTTGGTCAACTTTAGAGTGTCTTTCCAGCAGTTCTACCCAGGTAGCCGTGCTATGAAACTGCTCGCCTTCGGCGCGAGTCTCGGTGTGTAGCTAGTGCAAGGCCCAATTTGTCTGTCTTGCTTGCGTGGAAGATATAGAAGGTTATCGAAAAGGCCTTTGGGCACCACTAATGTCTTTCTGCGCTTTCTGGTGGTGGTTGTCTTCATGTCCTGTGGAGCAATATTGATTAAATGCGCTTTCAAAAACAAAATTCCAGGCCTCTTTAACTCTGTAGAATGCAGCCTGGCTGGGTAGAGCTTCCTAGCTTCACGATCCTTTACTGGAATCGCGTTGCACAAAGTAATGACAACTGCGAGAGAGGTGGAAGATGGATGGATCCCACTACATGAGACTATCGGCGGAACTATCTAAGAACCGCCCTCATCATGGACCGATGTGATAGGAATCAGGAATCTTTTGAGCAGATAATCGGCCAGATCAGCGTCTTGACACTCTTTTAGTCGAGCCGTCTTACGCTCCCATCACAATGTCCCCCCCCCACCCCCCCCCCCCCGGGTGGCCTGAGATCCTCAAGAGTTGAACTACTATCCATTGAAGCCTGACGCTGAGTGTCTGTCTTGTCGTTGTAGGAGATAACAAGCCTCTGATTTCCTCCTGCGCCTTCTTGATGGTTGCTTCCTTTATTTGCATAATTCTCAACACCGAATGCCCTTGTCTGTGTTGCATCTCTTAAATTGCACACATCAAAGCCATCTCTCTATGGACGTAGTAAATCTCAGTTTCTCTCGTGTTTATTGTATCTCTTCGCGTCTCCCTAGTTCTATTCTTTATTATTTCACTTCTCGTGATCCTCTTTCCTCTTCCGACGCTATCTCTCCTTCTTATTCCAGTACCCGTATCGTTGCTTTCGTTGACGCATCAAGGCTTGACGTCTCTGTAAGCAGAAGTATTAGTAAAGCTTACTTGAACAGTAGATGAGGGGAAAAAGTAATTACCAGTTCCACTAGACCCTGGCTGAACAGCATAATGGGCAATCATTCCCAAAGTATCAATGGCTCTTAAGCAAAAACTTGAAGACGAGGATTCTAGGCCAGACAGCTTTGATGTGTTAAACCCGAGTGACCAGCTGTCCCAGTCATCATAATAATTACATGATCAACATTCCCGCTACTTCCAGTCGATACAAGAGTTTTGAGATGGAAGGGTATCCGGGGTGACAGAGGATCACGATTGATGCCAGATGGATACTTCCATTACGTTAACGGATGAGTCCACGATAGAGAATGTTGATATGAGGAGTTCTTTTGACCCTCCGGGGCTGCCTCGCTTTAAGTTCGCCGGCCGAGTCGTGTTGGGGTAAATCTTCCTTTGCCCTCTGTGGCTTGTGCTTCGGGAGACCCCTTTCACTGAGTTGGAGGGCAATGATGGTGGTATCTCTACACGGAGAAATGGCGCGAGAGACGAAGTGCAGACAGTCGGTGCCGCCTCGGTATTCCTTGTCAGGAGCCTCGTCGTCATCTTAACTCAGTGCCGGGTCGTTATGTCCTGGTAAGCGCTGATTGGATGAAACATAGAGTGATTTTTGAAGCGAATGGTGTATCTGGGGATCGCCTTACCGATCGTATGCATTTCATATTTCACACCATAATCCTAAGCTGCGAAATCAAACAGCTTTGCAATGTGTTCCCATTGAGTACAATACGGTGTTCGTAACACCATTCCCGACGAGCTAAGAATCCAGCGGATTGAGAACAGTGTGAAGAACCGCAAGAAGGAGATCGAGAAATTACTGTCGGTGACACCAACAGCATGCCTGAGTCCCTGGCCGGTATGAACGTTCAAGAATTCGGAGAGCGATATCTCGTATGTTCTAAACAATACTTGTGATCAAGCCGGTAGGGAGATGGAAGAGAGTTTGAAGGCTCGGAAAACGCAAGGTCATTCATATATCTCGTTCTGATTTTAAGAATCTAACTGGATGGACGAGATGGGCATTGTGCTCGGTCAGGCGACGATACTTGAGGTCGGCTACACTATGCTTCTTGTTCTTGACATCCCTACCGAATCGGAATTTTTAGGCTGGTATTTTGACTGATTGATCGAGGTTAGCGTACTGTTCGAAAATAATCGGTCGGGAATGTAAAATGGGCGAGCGATTGCGAGACGAACCCCAGGTCTGATTAGTCGAGTAGAATATGTGCTGTTGGAGAACAAGACGGAGTGATGGAATAAGAGATCGATATATTAGTAGCAAAATTTATAAATAGCAGTCGGAGAGTGAGACATCGGATTCGCTGTGACAAATTGAGGTCGGTGCATTGCAGCAGCTGTAGTTGGGCAAGAAGGAGAACAAGATAATGAGGAGGAGTAGCAGTGGTGGTCCTGGGGTCTCGCCTAGGCTGCCGCTCACCGCCCACTGCGGGGGTCCTTAGCTTACTGGTAGTTAGTAGTAGTTGACAGGATCCTGTCGCCTCCTTGCCGTCGGTTGGCTCTCGCAGCTGTAGCCCCAGGTAGGTTCCAAGGACCCTTCAACATCTTAAAATCTAAGAAGTAAACCATGCGAATCGAGTTGGAAATATCAAAAGTCAGTTCTCCATCGTTGCAAGGTCAGAAAATACAAAAAGCCACGGCAAAAGAAGCTCATCCACCACCAATCTCCTACCACGCATATCAGCTGCTGCGAATCAATATTATCTGTGCGTTGCGAAAAAGAAAGCAAGAGGTAGAGGCAACATGTAAACGGAGAACGAAAGAGATAGAAAGACGTTAGCAGAACGATCAAGAAGCTTTCCCCTGAGTCTGTACATGTACACTCGGTTGTACCTGGAGTAGCTAGCTCGCGTACTCCATATCCAATGCAAAGAACTATGCCCCATCACTAGCCCTCTTTTTTATACAACGTACCATAACATCTCATCTACCTACCTCATCACGGTCACGATCACAGTCCCTGTCCCGATCCCGGTCACGGCGGTCTCGATCACGGTCTCGGTTACAGTCCCGATCACGATCATAATCACGATCTCACTCGCGTTTACAGTAGCGATCTTAATCCGTATAATCACAATCCCGGTTCCAGTAGTAGTCTCGGTCACAGTACTTGGAGTCACAGTCCTGATCCCGCTCGTCGTTGTAGCGGCTGGAGCGGTCTTTACTAGCCCGATAACTGTCGCCCATCTTACTGCGGCCGTTGGTTTCAAAAATAGCCGAGAGCCGATCAGCGGTGGTAGCAGCAGTAATATTTTTATTGCGGTTGGGGCTGCGACTCCAATCGTAGTAGCAATAAAAAATACAATTATCGACGATTACGCCTGTTTCAGTTTTTATCGCAACAGCCGTGGGCAGTCGAACAGCGAGAATTGCGTGATAAAAAGTAGATATGATAGCTGTTATTTGTATCGGATATCTCGTTGTACTTATTGTTGCAACAGAGTCTTTTGGGTCGCTCGCGGCATTGCTCAGGATTATCTTCGGGTATATTCACGCTGGTAGAGCGTTGCCGATACGAGCGACGACCGTCCTATTGGAAAGAAGGCTGAAGCGATCGTGACTGGCTCTTGGCTCTGGATGTCGACCTCGGTTGTGACTGTGTTCTATTAGACCCAACCGGACATAGTTGATACTGATTTCGACGCGCTTCTCCACCGCACCTATTCCCGCTCGAAGAGTGTGATCGGATAACCCACCGGCATTGAACTATGCAAGATGCTGAGCTGAGCCCATTAGGTGATGCTGTTTGGTCGAGGATCTGGTCTGTCAATTCCTTCGACCGTAGATAACGACACGGCTGGCCGCTGCTCCCGCTCGATGTCCACGGCCGGGTTACTCAAGAGCTGGCTGGACATAGTACTGGGCTCTTTGGCCGACGTTGCTTGGTTGGGGGATTGGTCAGCCAATTCGTCCGCGTGCGCTTCGACTGTGAAAATTGACTCGGGTTGGCCGCGGGCGCCTGTCATCTCTGCCGATACGCCAAGGATCACAAGGCTCCGAAGCCGGTGTGGATCTAAACACCACTGCTCTACTGTCAATAATATTGAGGATACCCCCTGGCGCTCTTTTCTAAGCGCAACGGCGTCCTGTGATACCACCATCCCGACCATCAACATTTGTGAAGGTGAGGCAGATTGCGCTGCCTCTTCTGCGGAGGGTTAGCACCGCGATGCCATTGTGTAGATCTCAGCGAGACAAGCTAGAGGCCGATCGGGGTCGAACAGATCAAAAGACACGCTATTGCATCTAACATTACTGCCGAGACTATGCTGGTGACTGGATCGGCTGATAGTTCGCTCAGACTGTGGAGTCTGCGTAGCTTGATGACACACGTTACACACCACGGATGCCATAACGACTCTATAACCTTTCTGAATTGGCCCTTATCCTCGACTTGCCTGCCGGACTGCATCGCGCTGCAATCCCCTGCGCTGTTCTCGCTATAATGTAAACTTAACGCTGTTGTATACGCACGGACTGTTTGAAGCTCGGCAGAACAGTATATCTGGAAAGACGGGGGATTGGGTGTAAATTGAAGATAATGTTGGCATCGGTCTCAGAAAACAGGCATTGCTCTGGTTCTGCTCCTCATCGAGCTTCAACTCGTACAGGAACTCATATTCCGAAGCCCTACCACTGCCATTAGTAAGTCCACTCGACGGAGTGGATTAGAATTCCGTACAATGTAATGCAGCACATTGATAGCAAAAGATACCACAGCACCCACAGGCCCGTCTGCTGCTTCTGCAACAGGAAACTTGTCTGATAATTGCTGAGATCCTGGACAGTAGCCGGTCCATCCGGCCTGAGAATATCGACAACAAGAACAGTGGTATTATACTGGATAACACTCCACTAGAGTTTCCCGTCAGCCTTAAAAAAGGTCCAAAGAACAAAACGTCCGATGTAAAATCATCCACCAGCAGCAATCCCAGTCCCAGGGCAGGATTGGCGGTGGTGGATGAGATACTCCTTGCCCGCTGCATCAGCATCAGGGATTAAATTCTTCCTCAACACACCAAACAAAAGTATAACGACCGTGATGTCGTGACTATTATGGAATAACGGAGATCCCCGTGTCAGTGATAATACTCATCCTGTTCCACAAAGCCACCCAGATCGAACATAACCAGACAATGGTGTGGGGCCTCTTCGGCAAGCCAGCCGCCTCGGCTGGAGAGATCCTCCGCAAGATCACATCAGGACTGGGACGGCCAATGTCACGTTCTTGGATTGTAGAGATTGTCGCCGGTCGGTACAATGAAAGCTCGCATGGTCGTGGCAAACATACCGCCAAGAAATCGTATATGTAGCATAAATGGCTTGGAAGTCCAGAGATAAGCGAGGTAATAACAAAGAGTAATCGAAAAGAAAAGAGACATGTAAGTACCGTCCAGGCCTTAGAAGAGCAAAGGCCGTGGCCGAAGTAACAGCTATTTCGATATGCCATGCTGGGGCACGCTGGATGTCATCGAGTGCTGCCATGGGCTCTGCCAGAGCATCAGCGGAGTATTTGATCTTACTAACCGCCTTACCGGCTCGCTTGATCTTCTGGCATGGTTGGCCAGTCAAGTAGTGCCATTTCTGCAACTTGGCTGGAACATCTTGTCATTCAAACCCTAGAGGGATGAATGGATGAGATGTATAGTACCACGAACTGTACCTATGGGCACCCGGTGCCGGAATCTCAACTGTCGGCCCATGAAACGATAGCATTCGTCAGCGCTGTGGAAGAAACAATATCTGAGCTGTGGGCCAAAACAAGTAGCTATGGCGTAAGGTCATGCTGTTAACCTTCGGTTCCCCGGAGTCTGACCCCGTTGTCTGTAAGTGAGCCCTTAGGTAGGGGATTGGTAGGGCCAGTACCTATGCTCGAACAGTTTCAAACCCTGCGAGTCCAGTACACCTGCCTTATCTAGCACTGTAACCGAAACACAAAGAACGAAAGATCATACTCCGATGTGCCGAGGATTCGTCTCATGGAGCTCTCAAAGATGCTTAGATATTAGGACACTTTCTTTTCGACGAGGGAATGCCGTGTTACTCACCTGCGTGCTTGGTACACCGTCCCAAAGGTGCCAAGGCCAACACATCCCGTCTGCCTGTACAAATGTCTGCGTCATGCTCAGGTGCTGCTTCGTGGTCTCGGTTCGTATTGGGTATGGGGCTGGATGATCTGTAATCACGAGGTGGCAGCGGCTCCCTGAAATGGCTGGACATTTCTCGATTATTTTGTGTTGCCTTGCCATACACACAGTAGTCATGTGTGAGACCGATGCTCCTGCGACAAGGCAGCGCTGTCCGCCCGCGCGAGGATCTCATATTCGTCCTAGCTATCAGCGAGCTGTCTGGATAGGGCGGTCGAGAGAGGAAGTCGGTGAGAATTCATTGTTCAATAGCCCTTTTGAATCTAATGGTTGAGATGAGGCGGTTGGTGATGGGGGTTGGGTTATGATGCAATGAAGTTCGGGGTTGGTTAGTTGGTTAGCTGCTTGGTGGACGCGGCGAAAGAGTCCTGGTACTGTTGGGAAAGAACGTCTCACCGCCAAGGGAGCACTCGTTAGCAACTGAGTGGAACCTTAGAACTCACGCAATACATTAGCAGAGTGGTATTGTTTAAAAGGTCTTCTTTTGTGCTCTTTTCTGCTCAGCTTATCCACATTAAAGCGATCCCGGCAGCCAGCCTTCTCAGTACTGAGGCGGTAGTTGCGAGGGGCCCGCGGTGCTAACATCTGCCTAGAGTGGCAGGCGGTGGTGGTGGTGGTCATATACTTACTCGATTCCTCCCTTCCCCCGCCCACATGCATCCATCGGTTGTTTTTTTAAGCCTTATCAAGAGTTCGTCACTTTTGCGGGCATACACCATCCCTTAAAACTCATCTAACGAGCCTATAACCCACCGAGAAGCTCGTCGTTGGCCTTCACTGAACGCGCCGGGAGATTGTAGTTCTGTGAACAGGCTAAGAAAGCATAATGGCTGGGGTGATTCAGTTTTCTTTTCTCGGAGTTATCGGTTGGAAGCTTCCAGATGATAGGCACTGGGATCCAGGATTGACTGAGGTTGAGGTTGCAAAAAGTCTTTGAGCTTCTATGGTCACCCTATCAGGCTCGGAACTTATCAGTAGTAGACTAGAACCTTCAGGGACTTTGCCACTATGCAAAGATTTATGCATTGATTCAGTATCCGCAGCTTGGTCTGTACTACCGAACAGCCACGGTCGGCTGTCTTTGAGTGAAGTAGCTGGAGTCTCCTGACTCTGCATATAGTCCGGAACTGTTTTTATAGGTGGAGGATGGCCATCAACACGGACCCTTGGGTCTGTCTGAAGTTTATGCTCATAAAGGGAATCTTCCATAAGTTCAATATCTCTTGCCATGAGTATTGAGTTACGATGAGAACCCCGTCGCTTATCCGTAAGTTGAGTATCTCTCATCTGCTCCTCCAATCTATTTTTGATGGCTTTGTGTGATTGTCGGAGTCTGCTTGTTTAGCTGCAGAAGGGTATGGCAGGCGTAGGCTTCTCCGTTGTGCCATTTGGAGTGATGTGCTTTGCCGAGATTTGTCACTGGGCTGTATGCCGTAATGATAAAAGACAAAAGCACCTGCCAAGTTAAGGTATCTCACAGTGGCACGAAGGCAGTGTAAGATTGGCCGTTCGAACCGACTTGGAATCAAGAAAGTGTGTGAAAGAAATCCTTTCGTTTAGCATTATAGATATGGTCAAATAATGCGAGTGTTGTGGTGCAATCACCAGGGCATCAGCGGCGAGCCTTTTCGCAGGAAAGAGCAATACTCTGTAGCCTAGATCAGCAAGGTTGAAACACTTCAGCATCCCTTGGTGATTGTAACATGCCTTCCAGTGCACATGTTGGCCGTCCAGAGCATGGAGGACAACCTGCCCGTATCAGAGACAATTGTGCAGACTGAGCAGCAGCAGAGCCATATTGAGGACAGTATGTCGCCTTGCGCTTATCGCGATATATCTGACACGCGATTGTTGGGGAATAATCATGCAATCTGACAGTGTTTCTTTTGTAGGTATACTACCGCGAGGCTGGTCAGCTTCGATGGATACTGCCGGCCGAAGGCGCTGTGTCCTTATACCATTACTACCGCCGATGCAGATCAGGAAATAAACGACTTGAATCACAATGAGAACCCGCGAAATCAAGATTCAATAGCGGAGCTCCTGGAAACATCGAATTTAATGATGCACTGTGATATCTGCACTGTTGTCGCCAAGACATAATTGGGAAATGTGGGATCCCGAGGACCTTCAGGCACCAACCCTTCCTGGTAAGACGATGACCCCTTACAGGTGCTGTGGGCTGCTTGTGGGAGCTGAACTATGCATCTGACGACACAGAACATAAGCTATGGCTCTGCCTTGCATCGTTCCGTTTTTTATCTCGATTGATTGTGTATCCCAGAAGATAAAAGGGCTCACACGAAGGGCAAGTTAACCATCAGAGTAGAAAAGCCATGGGCGGTCGCAGAGCAGAATAGCATAGTTATCCAACAGAACGGTTGATACTAGGGCAGGATACATCCTCACCACCCGCGCCGACCCATTACTGAAAACGATCCACTGATGAAGAGGCGTCGAATTCGCCCTGTTGGCCGTATACGACGGGAGATGATGGTAATAGTAGCTGCTCTACCCCTATATTGCGAAAGAGTCTTTTGGGGCTTCTTGGTGGACGGATGAAGGCTCGATTTATCGGACGGTTGGAACGGACATTCAAGGCCTGTTATTAATTAATGTCTGCTGATGGAGTGTTATATGATAGCTCTTGTGTCGTATTCCGAGCATTATAACTAGTGAGATAAACATTAGTATTTTTATTGTGATTGAACTTTATGGCTAAATGACCCACCTTATATGGTTGATGTGGCTGGCTATCAACCTGATAGTATAGGGCGCTCAATTGCTTCTGATGCCCGGTGTTCTTTGATATTGAGACTAGGTTCCTTTTCACACGGCATACCTGGTCACAGCTCTTTCGGTTCGAGTGTACTACATGCTTCTATGAAGAAGCCTTCGACCACAATGTAAAGGCAACTTTAATGTCGATCGTAACCCCAACAAGTGTGCATTAGCCGGGACGCTGTTGGATGGCATGCAGGCTCTATCCTGCGGTAAATCGTGTAAGCACGATATTGTGCTGACTCTTTTTAGAGGATGCCCACACTCGAGACCCTGACTCTGTCTGGCAGGACGGGTGCAACATGTATGAGGTGACAATATATGGCTTGCTTGACCCCTTTCATCATGGCCTTGTCCAAGGGCTCTCCCCAGGCAAAAACACCTTAAACGCGGATGCTCACCGCATGTGGCGAAGGTTTGGTAATCCCAAACCAGAGATGGTCACGACTAATATGTTCTCTCCATAGACCAGTAATGCTGGCCGTTTGCTATTTGGCTCCGATTTCTCGCGGATCGGTAAGCTCAGGCAACTGGATTGACTGTCCTTTCGTAAAGGGTCTTCTACAACATCAGCCGCCACCACAACTACTTTCAGGCCGCGTGAGCTAAATCTAATGCCAGTGGTACGGCCAAGACAATGTCCGTTGGCGAGTGCTGTCGGGGCACGTAGTGATTCGGGCATGAGCTCGGGGACGATGCCTAGGTGGACTCCACTGCGGCGGTGGTAGACGTGGATGTGTTAGGAGATCATAGATATCGATTTCCAATAATCGTGGGTTTGGTACACCCAGGTCTCGCCGCTGCTGAACCTTGGGAGTGGGTTGGTCGGAGTCGCCTGATCGGCTGTGAAGCGGATGATTGGTGGGCGTTGCGCTTGTAATTGTGCTTGCGGTTGTTGCTGTTGTACTTAAAGATGTTCTTCAATTACCCCGGCACCCGTAGGTAGTAGTATCTGCTCCTTGCCGGACTCTATTATCCGATGCCCTATGCGGTGGAACGCAGAACAGTCGAGCGAGGTGGCGCTGTGGTTGTTGGTATTGCAGGCTGTTCTGAAGGATTAGCCGAGCAAGTGAGGCAGCTGCAGCAGCTGTTGTTGTTGGGATTAGGTCTGGCTCTCGGAGTACAGACGCTTCGCACGCTCTGCCTTGAAGAACTCGGCCATATTTAGTGTCCAGTCTAAGGTATTCGATGCATGGATTCGGAAGCAGACACTGCTTATGCTGTAGCGGCGACGGCACTGTAGCTTATCAAGCGAATTGTGATAAGTACTTTTGCTGCTAACCACGTCGGTAACGCCTAGCAGTAGAACCAGCTCCAGCTCCAGCTCCAGCTCCGACAGCAAGCGACCGGGCTCAGCTGGTATACTCACAGACTAGGCCGGATGGGAAGCACTTGTAGACTGCTTTCCTGAAGGCCACATATTCAAGCACAGGAACCTGTGGTGAGAAAGCGGCCAATATTGTCAGGTATTCTTCGTGTGAGCTTGAGACTCTGACAACAAGGAAAACATTGTTCTGGGCGCTGAGCTCGAACAGGAATCGCATTCCCCATGTGCTTACCCGGCCTGATATTTACTCATGCGATTACTTCCGGTTATACCAAGTCAAACATAAGAGGAGCTGGCGGCATGACTTCCTCTACAGCACTGTACTAGTGCAAGAACATGACAAATAAGATCCACGAAATATTGGAGAATCACACGTCGGACATTATCCAAGTCGAAGTCGAAGTTCAGCCTGGAGAGCCATCAAACAGAGAAGTTGCCGACAACATCTTGAACAATCACGCGTGGACGTTCGGTCGCGTTTAGGGAGTCGATAGCAACCATGGACAAAGATGACGGTAAAATAACAACAGCATATCATTATGCAATTCATGACTTTGCTTGACGCTCCATAAGACTTTCATTCGACTTCCTTCCGCTGTGGATTCGTCTGACAACCGTCTCGAGTTCAATTCGAACTTTTGTTACCCGAATATGGGTTGAGTAGTCAGCTGTTAGAAATGTAGTTTCTTGGTGCTGTACTTTATACAGTACCAATTAGTACTGCGAATGTCGAACTCCTTGAGAACGATCTAGTGCTTCGTCAGCCTGACAAATTCTGTAACCTTCAAGGTTTCGACTATGAACAGATGTGCTGATACTAGCTAAGAGGATGGGCACAGGGAAATGAAAAGCAAAGGGGGTAGCATACAATGTAAACCAAGGACTTGTACCTGTCCTCTCGGGAATGCAAGCACATTGCCCTGATTAGCATGGCAAGCGGGGTTCAGGGCTGACATGCTGGCTGTCTTTTAATAAGACCCCCTGAATCAAAGCTCATACTCATAATCTTTTGGACACGTGGATACTACCCCTTGGTCATCAACAGACTAGTGTTAGTGACGATGCGCATGAATTAGGTGATGACCATATGAAACGGGCTACTTCTCGCCATTGTGGAGTTTATGACTACTGCGAGGAACATACCGAGTCATCAATTATGGCCGAAGTGAGGGCCAAATTTTGATTAAGGTCTCAGCAATGTCAGCTTCTTCTAAGCCTTGTGCCCATTCCGCACGCTTGTTCCTCCACGCGTGTTGATTGTTCCTCCACTGACTTTCTGTGATGATGGCTTCTGCTAAGCCTTGTGCCCATCCCACACGCTTGTTCCTCCACGCGTGTTGATTGTTCCTCCACTGACTTTCTGTGATGATGGCTTCTGCTAAGCCTTGTGCCCATTCCACACGCTTGTTCCTCCATGCGTGTTGATTGTTCCTGAGGGCTATTGAAGGTTTGTAAGTATACAATAAAACTGCCAAGATTGTCAAGTGATAATGACTGGCCATCGAGTATATCTCTTACCTGGAAATCATGGGACTAACTGATGAATTTGTGATGTTGAAGAGTAAGCGGAAGCATGGAGTAGAAAGTGAAATGAAGTGGCTGATTTGCGGGACGTGTTGTGCGTTGGGGGTACAACCCCAAACCCACAACCTCAATAAACATACAGTACCATTTATCTCAAATACCAAGAGCTCACACGTGTTATGTCCTTTCATGCGGTAATATTAGATAAGTCTCCTAAGCACGTTCAGGGAGCATTGCCATAGCTGGAAAATGTGGACGCGTCGAGACATTAGAAGAAAGTGCCAAATATGCTCGTCTATAAGAAGTGGGAATACTCCCGGCTTGATCAGCCCAGCTGTGGGAGATCCTGGTTGGAGAACCCTCCTGAGCATTATACCAGGGGACGAAGCTGGCAGAGAAAATACGTAAAACATTGCAAAGAATAAGTCAGTTGCCCGAAATTGTGGAATTCCTGCCTCGACAACTAGCAAAACTAAGCAAGCTCCTGATCCTGCTGTGAAGGATATATATAACTCAGTGGGTTTGCCTCTACTACATTCAACCCTATACTTTGATATCGGTAGTACTAGGCTAATCGATATAAGTGTTCTTCTCTAGAGACTTCATGCTTTTTCTGTGATACTGAGTTAGATTATAATTATGACTTGCAGTGAGTTCAGACGGATAATTACTTTATATTATTTGAGATGCTACTCTATAACGATGACAGGATTGCACTTGGTATCATATGGATACTATTTCAGAGGATGTTAGATTTCCTACAGATAGAAAAGTCCTAAGTATAATTAAGATCGGGAACGGAACCTGGGGAATTCACTCATCGGACTTTGAGTCCAACGCTCACGACTGCGTTATAGAAATGAATATGTTGGCCTACATTGTCTCAATAGAGCAAGTGTCTAACATCGCTGGTTTGAAAGAGGCTAGGGTATTCTTCCGAATCGCTATCATAACCCTTTTAATATCTACAACTTCATATCGATTTCTTGCTATTATTGTTCAGCATGAGTGCTCTGGGGCTTGCACCACAAGCTTTCTCGACTTGCGAAGAACATTCAATGGATAGACTCATTCGTACCACCATGTCAATCTGAAATAGGCGGACATTTGTGCACAACATCCTGGATATCTCTGGCATCCATTACGACAATAGCCAACTGCATCACGCCTCAGCGAGACCAGAAACAAGCTTCCGAAACGTGATGTTCACTATAAGTCCACAGCCCTGTAGAAAGTATAAGTATACAAAACAGAGAAAGGGAAGCCTGTCTGGTATAAGCTCACCAAAGCGGGACGAATGGCCTGATAGACATACTGAAAGTGTAGATGAATTCGCCCAAATCCTAACAGGCAGCAGCGCTCTGATGCCATGAAACCTCGCGCACAATCTTTTTTTCGAGAACTATACAGACAAAAGGAATTGGAAATCAGTGAAGATCGAGAGGAAAGTGTACACTATAGTGTAGAATGCAAGGTTGATGATTGCCGCTGCTACAAGCTTACCATAGTATTCTATTGACCCGTTCTTCTAGCATTACCACGCAGACAATACAGACAGCTGGTACTGTCTCACTTACTATTTGTATATCAAAGCATGGAGTATGTTGTATGGAAAATGTCAGGGGTATGAGAAGTGTCTGACCTTCCGCTCGGTCACGTCAGGGGCGTTTCTTCATTGCAGAATCATACTGTTAATTCTTGCATCTGTGGCAACGGGTGGTTAAGGAGGACTTGATCTCACTATCTATCCAGGCTATAACTTTAGAAACGAAGAAGGGCATATTGTGATTAGCTGGAAATGTCAATTAGACTCCATGTCTGTCGTCATACGAGATTGGCCATTCCTGTGTCTGGTATCGATAGTGTAATAACGTCTATGTTATACTGTCGGACGGCTGTGATAAATGTAAGCTTTCAATAGGCCCGTGGCCTGAAACTCTCATGTCTTACCACTACTAATCTAAGCTATGAGCCACCGCTCAGCCGGCCAGAGCTGTCGACAAGAGTTACTATGCTCCTGCTTCGTGCACTGGGCACTGCAGTACGATTCAATCACCTTATCTCTCTATATTAGTGCCATTGAGTGCATCATATCATAATTCAGGAACCATTAAACAAATGGGTTAACATGTTCAATCATCGTACGGTGGCGGCCAGAATACAGGTATGTAGATCGAGTACCTTCTCTCTGTTTCCCTTGTCTGGACCTACAACTCTATGGGCTGATTACTAGAAGGCTCTGCAAGAAAAAGGGGAAAAGTCATTGGCTCTTTTTTTACTGCTTAAAAAAAAGGCTAAAAAATTAAAAAACCCCGACATCTCAAAGCTGCTCGAACATAAGCTCTAAATCCATGTGCTTGTCTTCATTCACTTCGAAATCACAAGTGCTCTCTTCAGCGCTATACTAGCCTCATTCACTACATCATCATCAAGCGTTTTCTCCTTGCTAGCCTCCTCTATATCGGCCGCCTCCATGTTCTCGTTTTCCTTGTCGGACTCCTTTTCACCGGTGACACCCTTCATCTCTTTGCGTGCCTTTCTCTCCTTCTTTTTCCTCTCCTTTCTCTCTTCTTTCTTCTGTTTCTCAGCGAGCTTCTTCTTGAGCCGCGCTCTAGCTTCAGCCTCCTTCTTGTCCTCTTCCATCTTAGCTTTACCCTATTTCGAATAGATTAGCTATGAGCATAAAGTGATCATATAGCGACAAAAGAGTACCTACCATGGCTAGCAATCCTTCCAGCATCTGTCTGTCCGGACAACACTTGGCGAAGTGACCAACGCGCGAACAATTGTTACACTTTGGCTGTCCTGACTTTGTCCACTTGTTCATTTCTTTTCCCTATAAACCGTTAGCGTACTCCAGACACGAACGTGCGACAGTGCAGAATGAAATGGATAATAGAAAGGGTTACCATAATGATTGGAGGGGGGGGGGCGCAAGGACAGTGGTGGTGGTGGGAGGGGGGGAGCAGGTAGGTAGGATGATGAAGAAGAGAAGAGGAAGAGGAAGAAGAAGAAGAAGAAGAAGAAGAAGAAGAGATCTCAGTGTGAGGGGCGAGGGGAGGCATGGTATTTATATTTCTTGGAAACGCGGGGGCGACGCGCTAGGCGAAGCGAGACTCATCCCCTGACGCGATTGGCTATCTCACTTCCCAATCATCACGCCAGCACAGCTTCAAGGTTCTCAGCCATGTATGCCTTGGCATGTGATCGTCTCCATTGGTCCAATTATTGTACTTGTAGGCTTCTCACACAAGCTAGAATACCCCTCGCGTGCTTACGTCTCTAAACTTGCAAAGATTTCATTGCACCTTCGATGCGTAAGGTACCGACAATGAGTCGAGATATGACCCTCATTTCAGGACATATTATCCTGCCGACCTTCTGGTATATAGTGGCAGAGGTAGAAGCATAATCGCACTATGTTTATAGCAGCCGTTTTATACTTACTGGCCGGAGTTGCTATCTGGTATTAGTCGTGGATCATTACTGAATAGATCTCACACCAATGGTGCTGAAGGGAAAGGCTAGAAGAAACAGGAGATAGGTATTGTGTTGTATGTATTCACAAAGTACCGCTAATTGCTCAAAAGTATACATTGTAAGAAAAGACTATATACATTTTTTATAAGCTCGAGCAGCCAGTTATATACTTAGCAATCAATTTCAGACTAGTATGGTTGCGTGCGGCTACATCCGCCGCTAATACAAGGTTCGGGCCGTGTATAAAAGCCGATATTAATTACATACTAATACTGGATTATATCTCGAGTCTATTATTGGATTAAAATACTGGTTTATAATAAGCTGGATTTGTCTACAACTGCATCGCCTTTTGTTTTCGCGTCAACGGGTTGTGATAATGTGCATCAACAATAGCGATGGGAAGAGAGGAAGCAATAATTTGCCAGGAGATACGGAGATACTGTATTTTGAACTTTGAGTTTGCGCAGCGGCTCATCAACCGCGATCATGTTATGCTGATACAATTGTATACCTTGGTCACTTGAAACAAGAGAATGCCTCCGTGGATGTAATCATTGCATCTATTATTTACGCTGCCACTTCGACGGTGAGTTCTACATCTTCCGATTCTGTTGAGGAAAGAATATTAACGGGGCGATAAAATATGCAGTAGGCAACTAAACCTGCTATCTACAGCCAAGTCGGTGCTGTGTCAGGGCGCCCGCAGCGCTTCACTGTCCTTGACAAGTGGACTAGTCCTTTTCATTACACAGAACCATGAACTATGTTGACTTTTTCATGTCTCGCATAGGAAACCCAGTATGGCGTGCCAACGATCATCATCATGTCTCGAAGGCTACCGAAACCCGATCAGAGCGCAAATTTACAAACCACACCCAAGCACTACTGCATCTCATTTCTAGGCCATCAAACCTCTTGCTTACTGGTACATCCTACACAGCCCTGTTAAGCAAGCATCACTCTACGGTCTCGTGGCGGATCAAAACTTTGATTGGAAGAGCATGTGCATGACTACATAGGTCACGTCAATCTGCACTTTCGTCTCATTTTGGCCCAGGCCACTATCATAACCTTTATCGCGATTTGACTATTACATACGGTATACAACTAGGTGTGATGGTTTACGAAAATACAATGGCATAGGTCGAATTGTTTCTATAGATGATGCTACTGTGATCATGTAGATCTCGCACAATAATCCCACTGATACGTAATGGCTGAACTACACTGGTATCTCTTGGGACACTTTTGGCACTCAATAGTGAAACCCTTCTAGGTTTATATCCACTGTAATAGAATAGTCCAGACAGGTACGCCGTTGATATAGTCTGACAGTAAATCTACATGCCTAATTTTCCAGGCAGGAAAGTCCTTCGCTCAACGTTAGCCGGCTCTAGAACTAAGTACTCGACTCTCGGGCGGCAGCTTGGATTTTATTATTTTCTTCCTCTCTACAGTCCACAAACAGCGATCTTGTCCTCCTCCCCCACGCAGCACAATGCCCCCTGTAAGCTTGTTCCTTGCCATACTAACACGGGTCTCATTTGAAATCTAGAATCGATTTGTTCTATTCTTAGGAATGAAAGACTAATAGGGCTTTGCAGCAACGTCGCTCCAACGGCCACCATGCTCCCTCCCAACGGGAATGTTGGGAATGTAAGGAAAAAGGGCATACAAGGGATCAATGCCCGCAGGTCCGTCGTAAAGAAGGTCTAAAACTTCTAGTAAGCTCCACTATCACTCTTGAACTGGATCTAAAATTAAACCATGATATGCTTGATAGCCAGAGAATATGAGGAAGAGGGTGGAGAAGGTGGAGAGGAAGGAGAGGGAGAAGGAGAGGGAGAAGAAGAAGAAGAAGAAGAAGAAGAAGCAGAAGGACAAGAAGGAGAATAAGGAGAAGAAGGGGGAGAAGGAGGAGGGGGAGAAAGGGGGCAGGGCCCCTGTTTAAGTTGTTTTCGTTCTTTTTCTTCTAGATGACAAAAAAAGTATCATTTTTCATCTTCGCTTTCTCCAGTCGTTTCATAAAATTATGGATAACACGAAGCGGGTAACGCCTAGGATCACCTTTACACTTTGGCGTTTTAGACAAAACCTTTGCCTAGCAATATGTCTCAGAGGTACAGGTCTATATCTACACTCAAGACCACTCGACACTAAAGCTTATTTTATCACTCTCGAAGGTCAAGACGCTATTGTATTGTGCGGTGTATCTGTCAGTCTAATTTCTGACTCGCAACGCGTGCCCGGCTAAGACAACAGACCACGAACACCGTGATTGTCTAGATCACAACCTTGTACTCTGAAGATAATGACTTTGGTACGTCCATTCCTGATCCTCATACCACCACTGTGGTTATCAAACATCTTCTTCTGGTCTTTTGATCTGACCGATTCTCTTCGTCTGAAAGTAGGGTCCACTTCGAATTTTGTTATACTGTTTCTTCTCCTGCACAACGAACGCCCACCTCGAAAGGCGAGTGAGAAAACACGGACGGCGATAGCAGGTGCTTATTATACTGATAAAGCGACATACTGGACACCGGCCCACAATGGAATCATAAGTTATTCGATGCTCTAAACATCTACTCTGGACATAAGAAATGGTGCTACGGTGAAAAACAATCGCTCTGCTACTATCTTCTAGAAAAAGGAATCCAGCCAAGCTCGAGATCGACATGATTTTTAATCACTGATTTCTCTGCGCGATAACCAAAGCCGACTCACAACGATGCCCGATGTCGAAAGAAATGTCCGTCTACTGACGGAGCAGCACATCCTGAACAAAGACTTCAGCGTCGAAACATTTTCCCTACAATCATGGTCAATTGATTTCTACCTGGTTAACAACTATAGCGAGCTGGTCCCCGCAAACGTCTTCGACCAGGTGACATACACACTGCACCCGAGTTTCGGCCCGCGGGCTGTTCAAACTTTGAAGAATTTTCCATTTATAATTTGCGAGGAAGGATGGGATGAATTCGACATGGAGGTCGGCCCAATTGCCGCCGACAAGAAGTATTTCGTCACGCATGACCTCAACTTCGCGCAGGCGCGCTACGAATCCAAGCACGTTATCGTGAGTGAATCCTGGGTTATTTCTTAGGTTCGAGATTGAATAACTAATCTAGGTTGACTACGAAACAGACCTTCAAGAACCCCAAGCCTCCGCTGCAATCGCTAGTGTATAAATCCGGCCCCGTTCCTGGCGACAAAGACAGAGTCAAGTCGAAACGCGCCGCGGGAGGTTTCAATTCGGTCATATCTTGCTGGCTTTTATCATGATCACTCGACTAATTTGTGTTATTGAATATAGGTTGACATGGACAAGCTGGTCGATGGCCTCCAGCGTCTTGGCGAAGATGACCTTCTCCAAATAGTGCAGATGGAATTGGATGACAACAAGGCCCCGGACTCATATACCAAGAACGATGTCGAGCAGGTTGAATTCCACGTCGACCTCCATATCTTACCCGACAACCTAATCAAGATACTCGAGGAATTCACGCAAGAAAAACGTGCTTTGTGACGGAGCTGGTTGAACCACAGCAGTAACCGCCTAAAGAAATGGTTACTGTAACCCACCCGGGGGAGGGAGGGGGCGGGTTACAGTAACCATTTCTTTAGGCGGTTACTGCTGTGGTTCAACCAGCTCCAAGGCGAACTACGATTTGCCGAGTGAGCGCACGTAGTCTTCTGTAGCCCCGCCCATATCGAGACCGCCTCGGGTCTGGTTGGAATTGTTCTGAACCTGTTACAGTCATCTCACACCAAGGGCTTTCATCCGTTAACATTTCCACTCGGTTCTTCAGAACAACTCATCCTTGTTATTCTGGGCATTTCGACGACCTTATGAATCTATTTGATATGGCCTGCTACGTCAGCGTCGGTGACATGGATATTCAGCCGTCATATGCCATGTCGAAACAGCTTTGTATTATTTCCCGTCACTCTTCAAGGTCCGGGGTGGCATTTAGAGAACTTACATTTCATGAGTTGTGCCATCGTTCATCTGCGTGCAAGAAACATGAACCTCTTGGCTAATATGCAGCTGTGCTATAGCGTTCTTCTCCCATTGATCAGTTCGTCCATCTCTATCAGTAAGGTTTTCGTCGGCTGATTACTTCGTTATGCTGTTTTTAAGCGTCGAATAACAATGCAAAATATCCCTAGGGTGATATACTTGGAAAAGAACGAGCGACAAACTAAGACTATCCTTGACCGATGGACTAGAAAGTAAGTCTCTTCAAAGCAAGCGACTGTCACAAACATTTAGTATCCAGATAATTGACGGAACGCCATGTAGGTTGAGGCTTGACCTTCCTCTTATCTTTCTCTCTTCGCTCCTTCTGCCTTAATCAGTTCAGCCTACAACCTCTGAGACAAACGCCGCCTGGATGCCATTAACGGAATGATCTTCTATTATTCAGCTCTATAAGGACCCATATGAATTGGCACTGGCGCTGAAGCCGTGAGTACCTTCCACGGCAGACACAGGTTTCGGCGTACCCCAGGCTCTCTCCAGTTTTCAATTCCATCGTTACTTCGAAGGACGAATGCTGTAAGGAAGGGAGGACAAGAGGCTAGGATGGTAATGTGATCTGAAGCTGTCACTCAAATCAATGAGCTCAGAAATCAACACTTTCGGGCGAATCGAGACCCTACTTCCTACTGAAAATAATAGTTCGCTTATGTGGCGCGGGCGCGATGTCTCGATAGCTCATAGGCAATCTTGAGGATATTTCACGATTACGCTTTGCCGTTCCCTCTTCCGAAGTGAATATGCTCCTTCCTCCCATTTCCACTTTACGATTTGAGAAAAACAAATTAATTTTACTTTAAATTGACTCAACGGATACCAACCCTTGCGTTTCTCTTGGGACAAGAAGCGCATTCTTCCGACACTCAAAGATAGCACCAGCCGGTGGATATGACAAATGATGACGCTTATACTAAACAAAAAGAGCCCCGTGGGCTCCAACATGCGCAAATGGACCCCAATCGATGAAGATTCTACGATCAAGAGTGGCGGACCCTCTTGTACGACCAGAGCAAAGACCGATAACAGAACCGTCTACTTTAACATCTGCAAATGGTAACCTCAAACTCCCATCCAAGCAACACATGTCTAAAGTTTTGTCGACGGTCAGATCTCAAAAACCGACTGGAGTAAATTCTGGAAATGACTTCACAAAACGTGGGTTGAGTAGACTTCTGTTATCAGTAATGATTGTTGATTAGTATAGTGTGACAACGGAATGAGTTATCACAGAAGGGCTAAAGCAGCACATTGCCAGACTATCAGGAATTTGCTTAACGTTCGGGGGTAAGTCCAAATCGCTTCACATATCAGGCCATTGCAATTTTGGGCACGTTGAAGGACGAAGTATGAATTTATCCCTTCCATATGTAAGCAATGAGATTTTGTATGATTTACATTCTTGCCGCCTGCCCTTTTAGAACGTTCTGTCGCCTATTTTATAGACTTCTATATTGTATTAGAGATTCCATATTCTCCAAAATCAATATATCTGTTCTATTTTGAACTCTTTACTAAAAAAATAATAGATAATTAAATTCAATAGACAATCAGATATCAATATTTGTTCAATTGCTTCTGTTTTCTTTTAGTTGTATTATTTTTCTGACTGATGCTTTATCTGTACATTATTATATACTCATATATGTTTATAGTATTATCATAATTTATAATCAATTTGTCGGTATTAATAGCCTGGGATCACCGGGTTATGTAACGGCCGAAAGTTGAAAATATCATATAGCCGTATTCAGTTTCTCTTTTATAATAACAAATAGAATTTGTATGGCCTCAGCCTTCCAGCCCTTGAAGCGTATTCTTCCACACAATTTAATATTCATCTTACCAGATGCGTTTCTACATCTAATTCGAATAAATATAGCAATTCGTACGATAATCAAACTCATATCATTTTCTAGAATTATAATATAAATAATATATAAAATTAATAAAATAATCTTTTTTTGTTTCCTAAGTAATACAGCTTTAAATTATACCCATTTTATAATATACTTTATAATATTATATATTACTAGTCGTTATAATATGTAAGTTCAAAAGACAATAGGAAAAGATATGAAAATAGAACTCTGTTCGAACTGTGTGTTCCTACTGATACAGTATGGCTAATTGCATGTGCAATATACCTAGTCTATATCAGTTAAAAAAAGATATTGCTTCAGCCAACTGCGAGAACCCAGGTTTCGAGAAAGAAAAGAAAAGGAAATTTTTCCCTACTAGCAAAGAGGGTACGGGCTTGGGTGCTAGTAGCAAGATGGTAGAGCCTGGAAGGGGCTTCTTTCAGGGCTGGACCTTTTTTATAACCAATTGAGGTTTACTACGCTAACTAGAATGACTACTTTCAGTGACGTTCTTTAACTTAGTATTTTATTATACTTTCAGGAGAGGATCTAAAACAGATCGCTTAAAAAAGCACCGCGGCTACTTAGATAGGCTTACGTACTCAATATAAAGCAAGCCACAGGACCATTAGTGCCAACAGATTTGTACACATCGAGTCCCGTATTTCAGGAACAATACCACGTAGTCTGAAGAAGACAACAAAGTCTCGCTTCAGTAAGAGCTGTGAAGGATCAAGACATAATACAGAATCCTATGGTTGCCTAGGTTGAAGGCCTTAACTGAATAGTAGCTCCTCTAGTATGAACCCTATCTCGGCAACAGCGGTCATACACACGTATTACATATGCTTTCAGCCCTATTAAATATGGCCTCTTGTCTCAGAGTGTTGATTATATCATCTGTCTGTTCTGCCAACCTGTAACCGCCACCGGACAGGAAGCTTGTGTCGATGCAATATCGTCCTCGTGCGGCTCGCAATGCTTTCGAGTTTGTCATTTTCGCTCTTCAATATCGTGACATCATGTCATATCAGGTGATCAGATGCGTTTGAAGCAAAGACAGGTTAGCGTGTAAGACTGGCCAAGATTGCTAGAAGCTGTTAGTATAGTCTCAAAATCTCGTCTATCCCTCTCTAAAGTTGCTGCCAGGGGATATTGATGAAACTCACTGTCTATTCTTACACCACCATATAGCAAGTGATCGATCATGGCGCTCGTTGATTGTCTCCATATTGGCCGGTGCCAACTTAGATCAATGAGCATCGCCACGGCCGTGACCCACATTATATAGGGGTGATTCTTGCGGCAGTGCTCCACTCCCACATGAGGTACTCCACTTGATCTCAGGCTTGTTAGAGATAAGACAATGGAGCGGGACAAAGCAATCTTGTTCAGTCTATAACTGTTTCTCGTGCTCTCCAGTTTGTCTACCAGTCACGTCCGAGGGAGTATATCCCTCTCGACGATGATGTCTCTACTTAGCCTGGTAGTAAGGTACTGTAAGTACTACCCTACTAGGTACTGGTACTTGTGGTGGGGACATAGATGAGGGGTTTGGCCAATCAAGCCATCAGAAGCCAGACATGCGTCTAGCCCCCAATGGGCAACCTTTGAGTCTCGCCCGCGGGCCCTGACCAGCTCGAAGCATGCCTCAGGCTATAAATCGCTAAATCGAGCATAGTTAGTGTCTAGCGAAGAAGTGTAGATCAGGAGTTGGGCTTCGAATCCAAGTTCTCCTTTTCTCTTCACCACCCAAGCCATTACCACCACCACTACCACCACCACCTACCACTACCACTACCACCAGTCTGTCTCCAACCTTCCATTGGTCTTGCTGTTGCCTTTTCGTTGCAATGTACTGGATTGCTTTGTAAGGAATCGCAGTGGCTAATGGACGATAGATACTACTACTACTACCACTACCACTACCTCCTCCCGCTCCTCACAGTTTGTCACTCCCAGCCTACTTTCTGCACAATACTTCATAAGACACCACACAGACAATGGCTGGTTACAATTTGAGGAAGACTGCAGGACGGTCGTCAAGGGTCCAGAAAGGATCTGGCTCTCCTGCAGTGGGCGGCAAACGTGGGACAGGACCCTTGCTCCAGCCTGAGAGTCCCCTTTCAGGGGATCAGGTGTCCCAAACTGCTGCCAGGCGGACTGTTGAGCAATCTACATCCACTGTACGCATCACGCGTAGAACAAAAACCTCCAAGCCAACAGTCCGCCGCCCACATGAAACAATTGAAAGTCCCGAAGCTTCTAAGACGGCAGTGGAAACCCCATCCCAGAAGCGAAGAAAGTCGCTGGCAGCTATGGAGGCCACACTGCAGAAGGCATACAAAGAAAGTAATATGGCCCCGCGTAATGGTCATAAGGTACCTACTGGAAGACACGAGGCTGTTCACGCACGGAAACCAAATACTGTCTCCTATGAAACTAATGATGAAATCGAAGACACTGACAAATCTGAGAGCATTGACTTTGCAAACACTGATGAATTATTTGCGTATGACACTAACGCTGCCATTGTCGATATAAATGACTCTGATGTAGACGATTCTGATCAAGAAGATTATATTGAGACCACTAATATCTTTATTCCAATCTCATTGGCTGATACCGATGCTATGGAAGAAGCCGCGACATACGCAAGGCTCAACTTGAATGATGCCACTATTACAATGTACCAAGGTAGGTTTAAGGAACGCCTCGAGGGCATCACTAGGCACATTTTCCAGATTCTCGGCAATCTTAAGTCAAGCGATTCAATATTCTCAAGCCCTTTTACGAACTCAACGTGGGTTACTATATCACCCCGCCAGAACAAGGTCGATTTAGTTATCAATGCTATGGAAAAAGCTGTATTGCCAGCAGCAAGAACTATCCTCGGGGCCCCAAGTCTTACTCGCGACGGAATCCTCGCCCTGTCGCCTATAAATAGTAAGCATTTGAAAAAGGGAACATATCTTGATATTGTGACAAATGATTTGGATGAAACCGAACATGCTCTTTATAATGGATCAGGAACCGGAACAGCAAAACCGACCGAATCAGGAGTATGGGGTCGATATGCAAATCACCAACGCTATCTCGCAGCACCTCCTGGACCTGACGAAAGTCAACACTATCGATATATTCGCAGTGGTGGCCAGCGCAGAACAAACTTTAGGCTAGTAAGTATATTCGAGACAGCAGAAGATACTTCAGTATCGATCGAGGATCCCGATTGGCTTGTTATTCTGTGGGAAACTGTTCAGATTTTGATGACAAGGAGCTATGATGTGCACGCCCACTTCGGGAAATTCAACAATGCGGCATGTGTACAATTATTCGCGGATATTGCAGATTTTACGATCCCACATAGTTTTCCTCGGCCCGCAGAGCCTTTGAACAAAGCCCTCCCAATCAAGCAGGGTATTAAGAAACACATTCGCCCCACAAAATGTTCCAACTGTGGAGCGAAACTCGGGAAATCTGGCTGGAGTAATGTCCCAGGTACGCTTGATAAAATATGGTGTGCCGTTTGTTATACGTATTACAGAAGAAACGCGGACGTGCGCCCAGAAAGCATGTATGCGAGCCCATGGATTGGGAGCGAGCGGGTATGTTATACACTGGGTTGCCCAAGTCTAGGGGTGCTTCTGCACCACCCAGACCCGGAACTTAAGGGAAAGTACTTGTGTGAAAAGTGTCTTTACATATATCAAGACCCCCCAGAGCTACGTGTGTGCATTGATTGCGGTTCAAAAGACATGACGAATCGGTGGACAAAATGTTTCGGGCAAGCGCGCAAATGGAGATGTGGACCTTGCACTACTAAGTGGAAGGTCGCCGAAAGGGAGCGCGACCCACCACCTGCGAAGCCCAGCAAATGTTGGCATTGCAGAAAGCCCGCATCCAAGAAAACCCGAGGCTCTTTGCTTACATGGAACACAGAGTGCAGAAAATGGCTTTGTGAGAACTGCAGATCTTCTTGTTCTAAGAACTCAGTGCTCCCATTCGTGCGCAGACAAACAGAAGGCATCGAGTTTAGGTGTGATACACCAGAATGCCAACGGGTAAAAAGTCGGTGGTGGAGATTGTTTCGAGACAATCAAGACCAGTCTGTCAAACTGTATTGTCGTCAGTGTCGATTTCAAAGCGCGCACCAAAGTTTGCCGAATGATGAGACCTTTCACACATGGATGTGGCTCAGACCTGGGAGACGTCGAAAGTTTCGAGCCGACCTTCTCCGGGACTACCTGGCGAGATATCAAATCAACAATAGTCCTGAGGCAATCCGACTCTTAAGCGCAACAGACAATAATCAGATAGATGAGCAAATGAATATTGCAAACCACTGAAGCCAACAATTGTGAACACCTCGAATACGTGAACTAACAGAAATTAGAAAAGATTGAAACAGAGAGAACGGGAAATCATAAAATAATATAGAGATAAGTGTCGCTCCATACTCAGGCTGCGGATATATAACTGAATCGATATAGAATACTGTGAGATATTGTTAACAATAGTAGACGATATTATCGAATGGTGTCACAGTGCAACCCCGACAGACCTGTTTGACCCGTTTGACCTGTTTGACCTGCTTAACCCGTTCGACCCGATTAACCCCAGTAACCCGACCTGCCTCTCCGGACCGCCCGCTGTACGTGATCCCATATCTGCTTAAAAACCTACCCGCCCCTGAACCCCTTTATAGCTCTTTAAGCTACGTCTTATCTATCAACCTGTAAATATAGCTTAACAAGTAGCGTACTAAACTAATTAATATAAGTTGAACTGTTAAACCTGCCTAAAGAATCTTAAAGCCCAGCCTGCCAGCTCTCACTTGCTCTACCACCCTACCAGCCAGCCTGCACCTTGACTAGAGTGGCTAACGGCCAGGTCAGGTCAGGTTAATTGGAATTTTTATACCTGACCGCCAGGTTATAACCAGGTTAAGAAAATTTTTATACCTGACTGTAGTATAGCTAAAAAAAAAATTAATTATTTTAACTATTTTTAATATTAAGATCTACCTGCTATATCTATTTGAACTTTAATATAGTTAAGATATATTTAAATTAAACAGTTATTAATCTGACTATTTTAACTATTATTTAAAAATATATAGAAACCAGCTTTTTAAATCGAAAAAAATAATAAAAAGAAGTATTAGTATCTTTTTTATTTTTATTTTTAAAAATTAATTAAAGAATCCTAATAGTACCAACAAAATTTAGTTTTTTATAAAATTATAGTTTTTATAGTAAAAAATATATATAAAAATATATAATTATAGTTTAGTTTAAGCTATATATTTAAATTATAATATATAATATTAGAAAAACTGTATATTTACTAATAATTAAATTATTAAGAATAAATATATGTGAAGACAACACCCAGTACACCTTGTTAACCCAAAACACCCAGTTAGAGTGGATTAACCTGACCGTTATACCTTAACCTTAACCTGACCATAACCTGGCGGTTAGATTAAGATATAAAAAAATTTTAACCGTACGGTTATAGTTAGATTAAAGTATAACTATTATTTTAACTATTTATACCTGCCGGTTAAAAAAATCAGATATAATAAATAGATTAATAACTATAAATTAATTAATAATATATATATTTCTTTTATATAGATAATATATAAAGTATAATATACTTTTAATTATAGTATAGTAATATTATCTAGATTTAGCTTATCTATTTAATTTATTTAATCTATTTAATTTATTTAATTTATTTAATTTATTTAACCTGCTCGATCTCTTTTCCTATAGTCCCGAGAGGTATACTATATTTTAAAAAAAATATTTATAAAATTTAATATAAAAAATATAAAATTTAATATTAAATAAACTAATAAAATTATATTATTTTTTATACTGTCCAGAACAATAATTATAATAATAAAAAAATTAAAAAGCCCGGGTTTTTATCTCTATCTAAGTATATATAATATTTAAAGACTTAAATAAAGCTAGTTTTTTTTATTTTTAATAATAATTTATTT